TACCTCCTATTAGTGTTTGTAAGAAATATCAGATCAAACAACTTTGCTCTACTTTATGGAGGTTCAGTTTTGCTGTTTACAGAATCAAGCAAACTGCATTGTTCAGTACGCACAAGTCAATAAGGACACCGCATTAGAATGACGGTTTCTGTACTTAAGGTCTGTAGTATGAGCCATTCTGTAGCTAGCTGGCATGCCTTAGGATACTGATATTCAGTCCGAGTGTTATCTTTCTGAGGTGTATATTATTTTCACAAATAGCTATTTTTATTTTTTAGCCTTTTCTGACATCTCTTGTTTCTCTCACATTTCCTCGCCAAGATGAAAATGAGTTAGGGTGAATGAGAGTACATTCAAACTGAAGTAGCAATAAATGTCATAAGTTAGTCAATAAGTGTTTTGCTACTGAGTGCACATGTTGTTTCTACCAGCTGTTTGAAATCTGAATCTCGGCTTTGCATTCTTACTGCCAAACTTTAATACTGTGCCACCAGTGTAGGTTTCTGAGTCAACTTGCTACACTATTAATCCAAAGGAGCAATTTTTCTTGAAGGACTATCAATTCCGTTTTGGCATCTTGCATTGGTTCACTATAAATGTCTATTCATTTTTCAGATTGTTTCCATCAAATATTATAGACCTGCATATTTAAAGAAATTAAATAATGAAGAATCTGCATAAATATATGTATGTTTCTGGCATTGGGATAAAACTTTACCTAGAGCCATCAAATTTTGAGTAGTGAAATCTTCCATCAAATTCGGAATTTGAAATTTCTTTTATTATCGATTTTATATTTTGTAACACTTTAACGAATTTTTCATTAAAAAACTCAATGATTTTAAAGCGAGCAACGGCAACACTTTAGGGGGTCAAAACATTTTTATATCTCCAGTGTGCGAGACTGTGTATCGTGGAAATTCTAAAGCTTTGCTCATTTAAAAATTATTTTGCGATACTGCTGTTGAATTGAATTTTATGGTTTAAGTGCAAAGAACGTGATATTTAATAAATAAAGGTAACACACAAAACATTAAAAAACTCCCGTTTGGGTGTAATGTAAAATCTGAAAGCTTTCAGAATTTTTTAAAAATTAATTTTTGTAGTTTTGAACTACTAGCTCATCTTTTAATTTAGTTTAGTTTACTTTTATCTTTAGTTTATTGCCACAAGTGGGTGGTGGATTTATAAGCATAAAGAGTGTACCGTTTATAAATAACTGAGTTCAATTAAAGGGTATTTTACATCCTTCCCAACTGCATTCATCTATGCCCGTTGGGAGCAGCCGGGTCGCTGGCCGCCGTCGTTTGTGGTTTGATGGAGGAAGTTCCATAGCCATAGGACAGTAATGTCAGGTGGGCGGGCTTCTTCTCATTTTGTACCCTGTTACTCGGCTTCATGAGATCAGTTTTTTTTTTATGCTTTTATGTTGGTATTGTGCATTTTCTGCTTTACAAATGACTGAACTATGTTGTTCCTATCTTCTGGTCAAGTTATTTATATTTAGAATGGTTAAGGTAAAACTGCGTATTTTTACTTAATCTGTATGCAATAGTTTTAGAATTATCAACAATTTAAAAGTTTTTTAAGTGCGGCTGAGCCTAATTTTTTTTACCGTAGCAGCTATATTTGTTTACATTCAAAACTTAGCAGAATAATGAGTTAAGTCAGTTTCTGCACCTTCAGTGTCTTTTTGCTGAGTGGGACCAAAAGTAAACTTTCAGTTTTGTGCATCGGGAAATCTGCTTTTTTTGCCCGCTGGTGCTTGGCTTTGCGTAGGAACTTTAATTCAATAATAGTATATATTTTTTAAAAAATTTTTTAACTGCATTTGATTTTTTCATATTTTTTTATATTTTTCTATATTTTTAATAAAGATATTTTAAGGTTTTATGTATTTTTGCCTTGCCGCGAAGAACTGAACTGAATTAATTGAATGAGAAATATATCTAATGAAATTCGAGGGAATAAGTTTAAATGAAATGCAGCAAAAACTGCGTATAATTTTATATCCTGTATAAGGATGACATGTGTCCACATCAGGTATTTTAAAATTCTTTCTCGAAATCGTTCTGACAATGTTAATCGAAATGTGTAGTACTATTTAGTGGCTATATAAGTAGTTATTGTAGGTTATCACATGAAATGTCATATACTTTTATGCGCTTGTATGTTAGAATACAATTTCTTCTGAGCAAGTCTAGGGTTTTCCTTATTTTGCATAACAAATTATTTTAAGTTTGATACCTTTCCTGAACTTCTCATTTTCCTCTCGCATTTCGTCGACAGAATGCAAATTTAAAGAAAAGTGAAGTAAGTATTTAAACGGGTGAATGTTGTAGCTTATTCAGTGCGGTTTTCGCTAGCTAACGCACGTTACGAGTCCGTTCTTGCTGTTACGCAGAGCTGCTGATAGTTCTTTTCGGCCATTTAAGTAATTAATTTAATTATCACGCTGAGTAGATTGTCGAGTCAGCCTAGTTAGCCGTAACTTGAATTGTTAGTCCAGCCCTACGCTTTGAATTTATTGTGTAACGATTCTTACGTTGCACCGCAAGGTGTCGGCGTTATTATAAGCACAAAGTAGGTGCCTTTTTCTGTTCAGAGTTTCACGAATAATAACGGATTATTTTTACTCATCTTCGGTGCTGGTATTCTTTACGCCTGTGCGAGAAATCGCCATGTTCCTTAGTGGGATCTAGTAGAATTTATGTTACCAAAGAAAGTACGATCCTACACTGGGATACTCTCGAATTTGTGAAAACTTGTTACAAAAAGCTTCTATTAATCCCTGGAGGAAGGCCTGAATGGCATCTATTGCATTTGCTGGCATGTTGGGGAGGGGAGTAGCTGTGACTGCGTGGCTGCTACGTCTAGGAACGGATATTACAGGGGTGGCCAAGCTCCTTGATAGTCCGAGCCATTTTTCAAAATTTGAATTTTTTCGCGAGCCGCAATTAAATGCGTATTTAAAATGTATGCAAAAAAGGTATTAAAAAATTTTTTTTTACAGAAATTACATTTATCGAAAACATATAAATAAAAGTACAAAATATGTGTATTAAATTTAAATGTTAAAAATTAAGCACATTTATTTTACTTTTCTTGATAATTCTTTAAAATTCGGTGAATAATTGGTGACAGCACTTCTCAGTAATTCCTTGAGATGCTGGTTAGTTAATATTGGTCGGTGTTTGGATTTCACGATATTTTTAAAGAGGAATAAAAGGATTCAAATAAGTATGTTGTTCCGAATATTGAAATAATTCGACAAGCAGCCTTTCATGATACTTCAATTCTGGCACAAATTTTCGAAATTCAGTCATCGGCGTCGATTTATATTTTAATTGTAGAGCTTGATTCTTCTTGCATCTCTATTAATTCTAATTCACCAGATGCTTTTTGGGTCATAATTAAATTGGAAATGGAGAACTTACCTTGAATTATGTTAATTTCAAATGGATTCAGGAAAAAATCAAGAGACGATGGACGGAAATGAAATTTGTTACAACGTTGCACTTAGGCTTTCACATTTGTTGTCTGTAATTTAAAAGACATTTTGAAGCACATAAGGAACGATAGCAATTTTTTTAAATATAATAACACAAAAATGAAAAGGGAACTGGGGTACGTTTATCGAGAGCCACAAGTAATCCTTCAAAGAGCCGCATGTGGCTCGCGAGCCTCAGGTTGGCCACCCCTGGGATATTACATGGACTCCAAAATGTTTTTAAAGAAAATCGAGATATCCGTGTGATGTCCGTTGAATGTCAGAGCAGACGTTTAATTTCCAGTGAGTTAGTAAAAAATTCTGAATTTCCAACATGAACGTTCATAAAACTGAAGCTCTCCTGAGGATAATTATGACAATGATGTTATGCCATCAAAGTGGACAGATTCAATGCATCTTCATGCTTGCAATCGTGCACATTTCAATGAATATTTAAATATGCAATTTCCTGTAATATTCTGTATATTAAAATTTTCAGTACATGACATTGCGGGAGCAGTCTTGTTAGTTTTGCATCTGTTGAGTTTTACATTTTTATTTATTCTCTGAAATTTTACCTCGAGATAGACCTCGCCAATGACCAGAACTTTAGAATAGGACTGAATCATTTGGGAGTAATTCGTTACAATTTTAAGACATTACTTCAATTATGGAGGAAGAAGCATGGAAAATTAGGAATACCCCGGCTGGGATTCGAATTTCGCACCCTCCGACTGGCTAGCCGGACATGCTACCAATTACACGCCGAAAGCCCGCAGTGGTAAAGGAGAATAAAATTTCTTGCACAGTAAATGTACAGAAAACGCTTTCAGTTATTTTGTGTTTCGGTACGGGCTGGAACATTTTGCTGACAGTTGCTTCTGTTAACAATCCTCTGTCTGATTTTTTTTTAGATTACTACGAGACTGAAGCAATACAACAAAACTAAGATATAGTATGTCACGTGGATTTGTTACCTTTACCTTTCCGTAATATCCATCTGTAGAAATAACTGGTGACGATACAGAATTTTAAAACGCATCGGAAGAGAATGTCGAAGTGAATGTAACATCAAATAAAAGTCTGAAAGCTTTCAGATTTTACAGTACGCCCAAAGGGACGTTTATTTTAACTTATCACAATGCGAGAAACATAAATGCATTTATGCAGATTATTCATTATTTAACTTCTTGAAATAAAATACAGGGCACTAATATTTGGTGGCAACAATTTGAAAAGTGAACCGACATGTATAGAGAACCAACGCAAAATGCCAAAACGAAATGAATAGCCCTTCTGGGCTAAAGACCTTTGGGCGAAAAATATTCACGCGTGTTTTGCCGATTGCTAAAACACCCAAACAAATGATCAACGTAAAAAATATGTAGATTTTTAAATGAGTTCCTCTACCTTTAATAGCTTTCTCAGTTCAGTTGTTTTTCTCAATTGTAATAGTACATGAGATGATACAAATTTGTAAATTTGTTATAGCAGCAATTTCCTTTTTCAGCTCTTATCAATTCACCGGGGAAGAAATTTTCATTCCTAAAGCCTCGATGACTGTGGACGTGAGTCGAGTTCAGAGTTCTGAAGACATTCTACTACATACTATGGGAGGCGCAGGAGTGAGCATTGGCGTCCTTGGATTGATTAGCGTCACACCCAAAGTAAATCTTTAATTTGAATTGAAATTTCTTAAAAATTAAAAATAAAATAACGAAATTATTGGCATTGCAGGAAACCAGGGAGATGGAAAAGTGGATCTAGTAAAATTATTTCTTTTAAGCAAACCAAAAAGAATTTTTCTTTTAGACGTACCTAGAATCATTTTCTGCAAAAAGCCTGAGCTCTGTGAGAGTTTTTTGCGGAAGTGTTAATATGATAGAATAACTATGGCAACTGGAATAAGAAGAGTTTCGTTGCTAGACTGCAGGATTTTGTTACAGCAACTAAAGTTATGTGAGGTGTTTCTTTTTAACGTTCCAAGGCCTTTATGCCAAGACTAATCTAGAGAAATCAGCTAAACGCAGAAAACATAAATGATGTCATTTTCAACTTCCGCGAAGCATCGTTCGATATCTATCTATGTTAGACTCACCAAATATATTTGACAGATAAATTTGAAGACATTTGCAGTCCTAGCCAATCGTTGGAAGACAATCGGAATGGCCACTTGCAGTTTTAGTGCATCTGTTGTCATTTACCAAGAACAGTCAGAGTGATTAATACTGGAGCTCAGTGGCAGTAACGCTGAACCTCTCTGAAAGCATTCTGGAACCATCTAAAGACCTCGCTGTGATCGCAGTGCATTAATGTATCGTGCCACTGATAATGGAGAGCGAACATGGAAAAGCGGAAGTTTCGAATTAGCCAAACATTTGAGTGAGATTAAATATGTGTAGGGTTAGCCTTACACGATATCTACGGCTTGACCCGAACTGCCTGAAGTTTTGCAGATGAGAACACAGTTACGATGCTTTGGATTTTTGACAATGATAAATGGGATGTTTAAGTCCGGATATATTTATTTTTTCATAAGGATTTCGGGACTTTTACGCCGGTCAGCCATTGTTCAAAAACAGCGAAGTCTAGTTTAGTTCATGTTCGGATATAAAGTTTACATTCGGATACATATCTTCATATATGAATATAAAGGTGTCGACAGCGTAATGAAGATCGGTTTCTAACTTGAAACAGAAACCACGAAAAGTAGAGTACGTTTGTGCTGTGCCATCATAGCAAGCAGAATTTGTTTTGCAAGTAGAAGTTTTTTAGATATTTGTGGTGGTTCCAAAATTCATCTAACAGCTAAGTGTGTAGGAATCCCGTGAATATAAGCGAATATTCGTTTTAGTTCAGGTACAGATACTTAAAACTCAAGAAGGGTTAATTACCCTTTATTTCTCAAAATAAAGAATTGGACAGAGGGCTCCTTACTCAGAGCGTACAGCAAAGCCTATACTTGGGCGTTAACTCAGGAGTAATAAGAAATAAAATGTAACTAATGCTTAACTAAAAAGATATACCAGAAGCTATCAAAATTCTAAGGAGTTGGCTCGTAAATATCACCTAGACTGGCGAAGCTATCAAGGGCCTGAAATACGGCCGAGCGTAGTAATAGCTTAGAAAGAGTGTAGGCACAAGGCAAACTCGCGCTAGTCAGAATCTCTGGCTCTCTGACGAAGTCAGTGGAACTTCGACTTAAGTACCGCTGAATCGTAAGCTGAAATTAGGAGGGATAGGAAAGTAGCTCTAACTAAAGATAACTGTTAAAAACTTAGGATAAACCTCACAGGTTTATATTGGTCCTCCAATATATCCTTACAGGTTTATATAGCACTCTTTTTTAGGGCACTAAATTTCAACATCCAATAATGCAGGGTGTCCAAGAATGTTTACTGTTGTAAGGTTCTTGCGTCAACTAACCAGTTATTATGATTTCGATTTTTACTATAACTTCTTCTTTCCGTGTTAGTCAGCAGAATGCAAATTAACCTGTATATAATCTGAGGGTTTTGAATCTGAGAGAGTATCTGGCATTCGCGTTTATTGTTAATTCCGCCAGCATTGTTTAAAAGTGATATTCCAACTTTGGCATTCTCGCTAGCAGATGCTTTAAACTTACGCTCCAGTAAAATAACTAAGCCAACTTAACTATTTCTTATTTCGCGTCAAGGAACATGAGGCATATGTTAGAAAAAAGGAAACAGAGAAGTCTTCTGTTGCTCAACATTGTTGGTCCGAAAATCCCACTTTCCCTTTTTCTGCTGTCAAAATTATTCAAAAAACATCTTCCATTGGAGAACTGGATTTTCTAGAGGCATTTCACATTAAAAAAAATCTTTCTGTTCTAGTTAACGATCCTAATTCCAATCCATCTTTGTCTTCAGCCTTTAAAGAAATTACGTTTTAGTTCTGGTTTCATCGACAGATGGCGCCACTTTCTTATTCTTGTCCAGGCTTTATCTTATCTAATCATTATATCCTATCTCGTTCATTTTCGGTTTTGCAGCTGAGGATGCTGGTTCGGTAAAACCATCGAAACTAGCCCTGTGAAAATTTTGAAAATATAACGCTGATTTTTGTTGTTTGACTTCTGAATTAGTATTTCTTATTCTGTTGAATGTGTAGTCTTAGACCACGTTACCTTCGTCAGAATTTAATTGTCTCTTATTGCTTGTGTTACGGAGCAATACCTGTGTGAGCATATGCGAAGTTCTCGCGCTCCGTCCACTTTTCTATGTCCTGTCTCTTAATGCTTAATTTGAATAGCCACGCGTGGCGGTTTTTCTGTGGCACAAGTTTGTGCCGTTACATTTAATTTTTGACTAAAATAAAAGTTAATTTAAACCTTCTCCTGTGTCTAGTCTAGTAGGATTTGCAGGATTTTAATCTTTAATTCCACTTATCAATAGTAAACCTACACCTTGATTACAAAATATGAAACGCTCAAGATAATGTACAGCTGAAGAATTTGTACTTAGGCAGCTGAAGAGGATTGCTCTCTATTTATATCATCTAAACTAGTCCTGCAAAATTTGCAAACATTATGCTGATTCTTGTTGTTTAACTTGTTGTAAACCTTGTGTACTTGTGTAACTTGTAGTAAATCGTTATTCGGCCTGTTATTTTAATCTAAATCATAGTGAAGATATTTAACCAACTTTCACATGTGCACCCCTGGTAGCACGCAAAATATCCAATGAATAGTCAATTTCGCGCCTCACATTCTTAAACATTTCTGGTGTGATCGCGTGAACGACGTCTGTAATTCGTTTTCGCAAGACCAAGACATCAGGAACTGTTGTGTGTTATATGATGTTCTTAACGTACTCCCAAAGAAATAAATCTGAGAGGGAGGGGGTTATGTCAGGAGAAATATGTGGCGGTAAACTGAATACTCGTTGGATATTCTGCGTACTACTTAGAATGTACACGTGGAAGTTTATTAAATATTTTCAATATGAATATAAACTTTGAAAGTTTGAGGCCATTTGAGGTCAAATATAAGTTTTGTTATGAGCGAGGTTATGAGTTATCATATTTTGTACTCAGAGTAAATATTTATGGATACCCCGTGAGTTTGTAACAGAGTTTGGAAATGTTCACAGGTTACAAAACAAACTCTTAGCCAGCTTTTGAAGCAAAAATAAAGAAAGACTATTAATTAGGCGATTTTTTAGAATTTTCTCTTTAAATAACCGCTTGGGCGACCGCACTGATTCTAAATGGATAAAAATCAACTTATAGGCAACAAAATAGAAACAGCTATTAACAATGAGCAAAAAATATTTTTGTAAACAATCATATTGAAGTCTGGAGTCAAGTAGCAGATTCGGACCTACAATTTTTTAGAGAATGAATATCCTGAAACATGTCATAAGAAGGTGAAAAACAAAACAAGACGATAGCCTTTTTTCCCCCAATGGCGGGCACTTGACTTTAACGGCATTGCCCACTTCTGAAGTCAGAAGGGCTGCTTATTTTATTGTGGATGCACCTAATAGACGACCACCCTAACCTCCTAAGAAGGGACAGACAATTTTACGTCCAAATGCCTTCTCCGGGATTCGAGCCCGTGCCTTTCGGTATCGCAGTCAGGCTTCCCTAGCCACTATACCGTCTGGGCGGCTGCAAGACGATGTCTGAAACAGTTCATCAAATGTCATACAGGCAGAATTTTCAGACCCGGGAAAAATGTATTTTAAACACCTCGATTGTCATCATATAGCTGAGATGCAATGCAGAAATATAACTCAAATAAAATTTTTACACTTAAGCAAATTTCAGATGTTGGGTTGGATTACTTGATCATTAAAAATCATACGAGAGCAATTTGTCCAAGAGAAGGGATGTTTCTTTAGATGTCTTCCTTAGAGAAGATGGCTCATATGCAGTTATACGCAGGGTTGTAGGATCGTGTTCTCTTTAGTAACATAAACTTTACTCGATCCTACTAAGGAACCTGGCGACTTCTCGCACAGGCGTAAAGAAAAGCAACACAGAAGAAGGGTAAAAATAATCCTTTATTATTATTCAAACTCTGAACCGAAATGGCACGTACTTTGTGCTTAGAATAACCCGATAACTTGCGGTGGAACTTCAAAATCGTTACACAATTAATTCAAAGCTAAAAGTAGGGGTAGACTAACACTTTAAGTTGAGGCTAACTAGGTTGACCCGACAATATACCCGGCTTGATATTTATTTAAATGGCCGAACAGGCGTGTTAGTTACTCCACGTAACAGAAAGGACAGACTCGTAACGTGTGCTGGCTAGCAAACACACGCTTTGAATTAAACTCGCAGATTCATTCATTTAAATACTCACTTCACTTTAAATTAGCATCCTGGCGAGGAAATACGAGGGGAAATTGAGAAGTTTAGAGAAGGTAACGAAAATTTGAATACTTGGTTAATTAAACTAAGGGGAACCCTACAGGGTAAACTAAGAAAATGCTCATGAGCTAGCTCGTCCACCAATATACAGCAGATTTACTTCTCAAACACTGATGACGACCACTGATGGGCATTTTTTATAAAGTTGTATCTTTCGCAACCATATGGAGTCACACCAGATGCAGAGATATTATTTCGAATTTGTAGCTATTGAAAATTTACAATTGTAGAGTTATTTATAAAATTATTACAGGTGAAAATACTTCTATCAATCAAAAGGACATAATTTCCAAAATCAGTTCCGCTTATAATAAGCATGGTTAATTTTTCTAGGAGATTTTAAAATCGAACAGGGTTTCGGCATAATGGTCAACTTGGAACCAAACTGAAAATTAGTTCAGCCTATTTTCCAGTTAATGTCTAAAATAGTTCGTTTTGATATCCCCACCTTTCATGACAATGGTCAAAGAAAATGTATGGGTTCATCATTGTAAGGATCGTCAGTTATAAATAAAAGAAAGTTGTGCTTTTCCAGAATGGCAACATCAGAAGAGAAAATGACGGTGATTTAAAAAATAGAGAGACAGTACTGTCAATAATTTACGGAAGCAGAAATGAACGCTGCTTACCGTATTTGTAGTCAATCTCCTTCCATCTTTATAACTCTTTGTAAATAGTAAAAATTGTTGTGCTAAAGGTGTTTGTTAAATTAAAAGCCAAACGACTGGATTTATAAGTTCATGTGACGGAATCCTTCCGTCAGGCGTCCACCGCGAAGAAAGTTCTACTATCATGTCACGACCCGCACTGCAACATCTCAGTCAAGGGTACGGCTGTGTAGAAAATTATAAAGAGAAAAGAATGCAGATGTTTTTCAATTTTAGTTACATTGATGTTAAATCTCCTGTGGAGCCACCGATTTTTATGTTTTGCTTTGTATTTTTTTTAATGTTTTTTTTTTTTTGGTTGAATAAATTTGCAATGTTCAAGAAGATGAATGATTTTTAACGTGATTCTTGATGAATGTTCCTTGAGGTATTTCATGAATGCTTAAATCTTGCTTTCTAAATCACACATAATGCAGAATATTTAATCCTTGATAACTTTACAGGTTAAAGTAGCCGTTACTACGAATACTAATCGAAAGACGCTTAATCTCATCAGCAGCTACGAGATGACAAAGGGAGTCATAACTCTGCAGAATGCCAAACCGAAGACTGTGGTAAGCGACGACAGCGCCCTTTTCCTCAGCGAAATCGAAATAGGTGGCAACGAGCTTCTTCTTGTCTCACTCGAGTTCGAAAGTGAGAAGAAGAAAGTAGAAGTGGAAGTATCGGTCACCTTCAAGATCCTGTTCATAACCATATCGGCTAAACTGAAGCACGTGCATCAAAATTTTAAATCCAAGGCCAAAGTCAGGGTAAGTATCTACATCTAAGTAATAATAAAATAGAAAAGTAATAATATTCTAGAATTTTACGAAGTATATTTTACGCATTTTCAGACGCTGTTTCGAAAGGTACGAGACGACGATGCATAATAAGAAAAAATTTGTATTGTTAGATGAACGATTTATATTACCACATTGAAATACAACTTAAGCGTCATTGCTTAGCAGTGGGACCTGTTGAGATCTAGGGCACCTTTATTTGTCCTTCAGCACTGAAAAGAAGATGGACAACAAGTACACAGCAAGAAAATTTGGTTGCTTTAACACTTTTGAAACAAACATTCATTTGACTGAGCGAATATTACAACCATGCACCTCTACAAGAATTATATCAAATCATCGAAGAATTAAAGTGAATCCAAATTTAACGAACGTTACTCCAAGTTTCATTTTTCTGTTCCGAGGGATCGGAAACTACGAGTATAATTCGAATATGCTATAAACAGGACACCAAATTTATACTTTCAGTGTTATTGGAAACGACCAAGTAGGATGTTTTTTCAGTATATATCAAAATTTGATCCCACTGTGACAGGAGCTGCATGTTCTGCAGGTTGATTTGTATTTAATGTTTTGAAAAATCTCTAATAGTTACTATGCTGTTTATGTACTGTGTGTCGGGTTTTCAATTAATCACTTGATTCAGTACAAGTGCAACAACTACAACTTTTGATGTTTTCAACCGATGCCTGCAGACTACATTCAGAGGAAATCTTAAGCATCATTGTTGAGAGGATAAGAGGTCGTAAGCAAACTCCAAATAACTTCTGAGTAAAATAAAACTCGAAACGGGAGCAGAGAATTAAGAACGCTTGGGAAAGGATGATGCTTGGTTGCAAACTACAGTACTTGGCTGTATGGGAACTACAGTGGCTGCGTGGGGTTGGGAAACTTGAGGCTTCAATTAAACCAATATGCTGAATATGTTGCTTATATTAATTTAGAAGACATACTATTCCAAATCTATTTGCGAATTTGACAGAGCGTCAAGCAAGGTGTTTGACGACGCGGTATATTTGCAATGCAGTTCATCAAAAGTGTCGTGCAAAGATGCTACATAACATTTGATTCTTTGGAAAGCAATCAAGAGGTATAAAGCTTTCATTTTATCTTTTAAGTGCTTTAATATTGTACTTCAATCAAGTTATACTATTTAAATAGTAAGAGGTTTCGTTACATTATGATAGTCACTCTTTTTTAGCGTTTTTCGAGTAGTTCTGAGTTCTTCTTGGATTGTTTTACACCAGCTTTTGAAACATTGTTATAGAGCTAGTCAGAAAGAGTTTTACACCAGCTTTTGAAACACTGTTATAGAGATAATCAGAACCAGTTTTACACCAGCTTTTGAAACACTGTTGTAGAGTGATTAGGATTTTTTTTTAGGAGAGGTGAAAAGTGAGCAATGTCCTCGTCTGGACTCGAACCTGGATCTCTAGAATATGCGCCGAGTGTGCTACCGTTACACCACGAAGGCATGCAGAAAGGAGGGAGAAAATACATTATACTGCTAAAAAGAAAGCCTAGATATTATACAATTTATCAACCATAAACTATCTTTTTCAACGTATAACTTTTCAAAGCTGTTTCGTCACTTCCCAGTGATGATGATCGCAGAGTTCCGTAAAATATTATGAATGCAGAATTTCTTGAAGTTTGGCAATGATAAATGCAATTGAGAATTTCGCCTGATAAATAATAAAAATGATCTAAAGAGGTGACTTCGTTTACAAAACTTCTGTAAAAAATAGTAAAAAATGATACTATGGCAATACGAAAAAAGATGAGAACATTTTTCCTTTTTAGGGAATACTGCAAATCTTCTGCTATTTTATTTGATGAGGCGAAACGGAATCTAAAAATTTCAGAGGGCGGGAAATTCCAAATTTCTGCGAAGTTGAAATCTTACTCCTTAAATGAAAATTGTATATTAAGGAAATAAGAAATAAAATGTACTTATGACGCTATAAAAATTTTTATAATATTCCTCTTTGTTCTGTAGTAAGCATTATATAGAATGAGCAGTGTAATAAAACAAAAATCAGAAATAATAGAAGAGTCTAATCCAATTAGATCTGAAGAAAAGTGTGAAAGAATTTGTTAATGCTATTTATGATAGAAGTTTAAATTTTAACTTAGATCAGAAAAAAGAAAAAAGAATTGCCGTTAATTAATTAACAGAAATTCTTTGCGAGACTACAGGTTTTAACTAGACTTTAATGCAATTAATTATCTTCTTAAAATGAGTTTTATTCTTAACGCTAAAGTACGTTAAAGAAGGTAATTTATACAAGAAACAAAGCTGAAAAATCAGCAAAGTGAAGAACTCATTTCGCAAATAACTGAAAAAAAAGCAATTCGAGCTAAAGTGTATTGCAAACGTAATCATCCTAAAAGGCGAAAAAAGAAGAATGTTTTAAACTATTACTAATTAGTTTAATATATTTTTAATTAATAGTTCTTTATAAAATGCATATTAAATAAAAAATTTTTCTGAATAAAGAAATGTTTTTCGTTTAGTGAAAAGAAATAAAAGTAAACACATTAATGTGGTAGCAGAAAATAAGAAAATTATATTGAAATATAGGAAAATTGCATGTGCGGGGAATAACATTGTTATATCGACTATTAATTAAACATTATATAAGTTAAGCCAGAAGTATTAATTTAGAATTCAAACAACAAAAATCAGCGTTATATTTGCAAATTTTCACAGTAACGCTGATTTTTGTAGTTTGAATTCTAAATTAATCTTTGTTCGACGTGTTCTTTTATCTTAAGCCAGAAGTGTTTGGCTTGTGTAAACCTAAGTTGGGCAGTTGTTACTTTTTGTGTTCAGATAAAAGGGTCTTATACACCCTTCTTCTGACTCTTATTTTATTTCACAAGACTACAGGGTGTTCGGGATAAATTTGACATATTTATAATTGATTATATTTTTCCATAGGTTGGAGGTTTTGACACACACTACTCGTCATTTAAAAGTTTGGACTCTTCTTCATTCATATACAAGATGTCAGAAAGGATGGATGACTGGAACCCACCTGAATCATGGAAGAGAATAACTTGCATCATGATGATTCGTGCCGGCCATCAAAATAAGGATATTATGACTGCTGCCCAATGCTCCCTGAACACAGTAAAAACAATCAGGCATGAACTACAGACTTGCAATGGTGACTACGGGGATGTAGCAAGAAGAAACTTCCCTAGCAGACGATCTGATTGCGTTCGTACAGCAGAATTTCTCGCAAATCTGCAGGAACAGGTGTTGAAGAAGCCCGGCATCAGAATTCGGGCTTTGTCACGTGAAATGAATGTTGCAGCCTCTACTATGAAGCTTGCACTCAATGAAGACCTTCGCTACTACTCATACAAGCGGATTTTCTTTTTCCTTACGAAACTTTCAAATTTATCCCGAACACCCTGTAATTCTTTCAGAGTCTTTTTATAGTCGATATTGTATGCTTCCTAAGAATACAGGACTTTACAAAGCTATCATCGGTTCTTCGTGCATTCAATCTATTTTGAACCTGTAAGAATTGGAGGCTCCCTTCAGCCCACCTGGACACGAGTGTCCCCATAGCTCAAAAGAAGGGGCCCCGTATCTCCACAAACGAGGGCAGCCAGTAACCCAGCCACCCCCGAACAACAAACAAAAATACCAAATCAAAAATAAGTAAGCACATCTAACACAAAATCACAAACCAACAAACAAAACAAAAAAAAAAAAAAAAAAAAATCCATAAACACAAATTCACAACATAGAACACCACAGATATCCAAAATCCATACAAACACAAAATTCAATTTTAACAGAGATTCCTACCAGGCCCTATTTTCATTCATAAACTTCATTAGAGCAATAGAATATGATTTAAAAACTTTAAAATTAATGACACTTACATTAAAATCAGTAATGTTAAAAATCTGTTTAATGGGGGCTGTTAAACTAAAATCAACCACGAAATGCCTAGCATCACCATCAACCTGAAAACTATTACTTAATTTATTTTCTTGCAGATTAAATCGGTTGAAATAGAACGAAAACCTACCATGTCCAGTTATCTCGAACCTGTATGCATATCACACCACGATAAAATTCGTGGCCTTATTCTGATTACGTCAGACAAATGAGATTTCATGTCAACAACACTGTAAGTCACGAGTCACATTATAAGTCATTTCAAGGTTTTAAATGAACAGATTCTGAGGTTTTTGATTTGAAATTCCATTTCTAGCGATGTCTCCTAAGATTTTTAGCCTATTCATGTATCCATGTGGATCATTTGTTACTCATATGCCCATGATCCACATATATGCACAGCATATTACTAAGTCTTCTGTGCTTCGAAACGTTTTTTCAGCAGAGTATCGCATAATGGAACTATTAATAAAGTGCACAATTTTTATAACAGCCTAAAATATAAAGCTCTGGCATTTTTAAATAATTCTTTTAATAATGAGTGAATTTGATTACAACTTAATAAAAGCAATCATAATTATACGAGATTTCATTATTGTCTATAAATTACAATCGCTGATATAATGACACTTGCTGGAATAAATATGTTACGTATTCTTCTCATAATCTATACACATCAATTAATCTTATATTTGAATTTTTTTATTGTTTAGGTTCAATTCAAATCGTCATGGCGCAAGGAGTTGGATGAAACATTCTCCAGGCTAGAGGATGCCATACCAAGAGTTGAGCAGATCGAAGCTATGTATATGAAAGGACCTGAAGAACTGAGGAAGCTGAGTAATGAAGATGAAAACGCTCACAACATGTACTACTTTTCTTCCTGGAAGCAAAGTCCTTATGGTAAATCACATTTATAGCTGTAGTCATAGAAAAATATTTTTCCCGGTCGCAGTGCATTTTTATTCATTGTTTGTATCTTTACTAGCCTGAAAATTCCATGTGATAAGAATAGGAAATAACCGTATAGCTGCTCTTCTATTCACAGACTTTCTGTGCGACGGTCTGGAGGAAAAGAGGGTTTGGTTTATGTGATTACGGCAAAGCAATCAAGGGCTATCTGCCTCAGGAAAGGGATGTCTTCGCGGAGGAATTTCTGAGGAAAACTGATTTTTATACACATTACACATGGAGAAAACCATTAAAACGTCCATGCAGCTAGCCCGTTCGCGGGATTCGAACTATCCGTGTTCAACGACTTATTGATTAGTCGCTGTTCAGCGGTAGCCGCTCGGTTGTTGGATGCCACCCGAGGAAAGAAGGGAGAAAGTACTTTATGAAGTAGTTTACAAGGTGTTACATTAGAAGTTCTTGGTGGCCAACATGCCACAGTCATGCTTTAGTCTGTTAAATTGCTAATCCAACGCAGAGGAAGATTTTTACCCAGGCCAAGTTCTGAAGCGACTCTGTATAACAGTAATAAAATTTGGTTTTGTACGCCTGAGTGCACAAAAAACAGTTTTTACCTCATTGGCGACTATATTGTTCGATTGAGGTTGAAATGTTCACGTGGTGTTGACGTTACGAAAACAAACGAAAGTAGAAGGTCGTTTTACAAAGGAACACCATTTTAAAAAGGAAGTTGAAGACTTCTTTTGTAAAATGGTGTGTTAAAGAGACATAAGTAATAATTGAATCTCGTAATTCTTTGTGTCGAAATAAAATAACACATTCTAAATTCTTTGAATAATGAGTAATTTACGAATTCTTACCTTTTTAATAAAATTATGGGGAAAGTTTGTGAAACGATTTCAAGAAACTCATTCAGATTTTTTCTTCATTGCATCATTTCTTTTTAATCTTTTTTTTTATTAAGAAAACTTTGAATTCCCTCGACAGTTCAGTTATTTTATGTTGATGACCGAAGCTTTCTTCATTTTCTCTTGACGATGAAGATGCCTTTTTACCTTAAGTCATTTTTCCCCCTTTCTTTATGGATGTCTGAGACCTTTTATTTTCTTTTCATTGACTGCATTATCTTTTCATCTTCTTTAGTCTTAGATACGAATTTTTTCCCTTATTTTAGGTATAATAGCTTTTTTTCATCTCCTTTGGTATTTCAGCTTGAAATAATATTTTTCATTGGTTTCTTTTTCTGAAGATATCTCAAGGATCAACGAATTAAAGTGAAAGAAAAAATTTTAGTGAAAATAATAAATATGTCTTGATGATTTAACTTTCTTTAATTCAGTGAAGCTGATTGACTGTGATGATGATGAACAAATATTAAATAATGGGATGGAAAAATACAGAGATCTATAAAAAGTACTGGACCCTCCAGTGGCCTAGCGATAAAGTCGCTGAAAATGTTAGTTAGACCCGGGTTCAAATCCCAGCGGCTGCCCAACAGGTACAGTGGTTAGCGTCGCTGACTGCCTTGCCGAAGTGCTCAGATTCGAATACACGAGAAGGCACATGGATGTCTATAAATGCATAGTGTCCCTGCAGCATGGGGGCACTCTCAATATGCGGCGAGCCGAAAGTTCTCTCGAGAGGTTGCGGTAGGGAAAGAGGGATGGGAAACCCTCAGACCCGTCCCTCCGCGGTGTTTATCCATCAAAATTGGGGGCGGAATTGAACTAAATCGCACTGTCATCTGTAAGGTGCTCCAGGTTGTTGCCAACGGAAGGCAAGTTCTTTGCCACGAAGGCAAGGTCCTTGCCCTTTTCACCGGCTTGGGCTGGCTATAGGTCAGACAAGTGAGCATTAGTCAACAACAACAACAACAAATCAAATCCCAGCAAGAGAATCCTTCATAACGGCGCCCTTGCTTTTAAGCTGATAGCTTTCGCGTGCTTTGGCATAATCAATGAAACCAAAGCAAACATCAGAAAAAAATTTTGCTTACTTTGTATTTTGATACTTGCTAATATGTAAATTTATTTGTATTTCAGGAAGCAGCTGCTAGAATTATTAGCTTTCGCTAAATGGTAACTTTTCGTTCTGAATCGGCGTTCGCACCCAAATCATATAAATTTAGTATACGCAGTTTGTACGCTTGGAGAACTGCCAGTTTGGCTTGGAAGTGCGTCACTGATATTTTGTTTGCTTTCATATATGTAAAAAGGTACATTGTTAATTATTATTTTTATTTCCCGATTTTCTGATCAGTATTTAGTTAATTAAAAGCACATTTAACAAGATCCTAATGAAAATTCAGTACGGAACTTATTAACTGATTCAAAGCATTCTTCTATCTACACCTGATAGTGACAAATTTAGCCATAACAACATCTTTTGATTTCTAGTATTTATTACATAAATTACATAATACGCATTTACAAAATTTGCATGCAAAGATCTTCAACAAGTCTTTCGTTGCATTATATTACGTCTGATGTTACTTAACTTCAGCTCTTCGTCTCATAGATTTTATTTTTTCACCACTAGAGTGCGGTACGTACTTTAATAGTTCTACCTATTAAAGTACGTACCGCACTCTAGTGGTACGTACTATTTTATTAAACTAGTCGGCAATGCATGAAACGAATCATATTTCGCACATTTCCTAGGCATTCTATAGAATTCCAAATGACAAACCAACAAAGTGTGAAATACATTTCCGACTCGTTTCGAAGAACCGAAACTACTTACCAGAAGTTAATAAATGATGTAAGAAAGCCAAAATGACTACTGAGAAGGGACCACGGGAGTACTGGGCTGCTGAATCGCTAGGATAGGATATTTGTATTAATTTTTTTATTTGTCGAATGCCAGTTACATTGGCCGTTAGGCCATTAAACTCTTTGCTTGTCAATAGCGCTGAAATCTACAAGAAAAATTTGTCAGTGCTTCACACTCGTCCAAATGTTCCACCGTCATTAACCGCTCACTATTACATAAAACACACAACGGCGAATCAGCTAGTCCAATGCGAAATAAATGATTCTGAAGGCAGTCAAAAGATGCAACCGCAACTGTTCGCGGGTGATGAGAAACAAAAGCTGGGTTTGTTGAGAGAATACTTCAAGGCTTGCCCTCACAAGCCCGAGTGGTAAAACCTTGGTGAAAATTTTCAGGTTTCTCGGGAAAGATCTTTACGTGTTGTATGAAAACGCTTTAACACTTTGCGGCACAGTAACACGATGCGGACACACCTAAAAGTTTCCTTCTGTACGCACAGAAAAATTCAATGAAAAAGAATTGATAGGTTACTATAGTTACTCTGAACCTTCTTTATTTATAGTAGATGGCAGCTCAACACAAACCAGTGCATTATTTTAGCCATGTTTAGTTTTTTAAGACACTCATTTTCCAAAGAAATCTTCCAGATCTTTTTTTAGTGTATAAAATGAATTGTTTGAAATGAAATTTCTGTGTTATTTTTTTGGCTGTATGCTAATCGCCTTATTCTATATTAGTTTCAAATTTTTACCTTGAAATCTTGCCTAAAATTAAACGGCGAACCCTACGTGTGCCCAGACCGTGCTCACCGATCATCTAGGACAACTGAGAGTCTGTATTCTTTGTTTCTCCGCATCTCATCGGTCAGTTCATTGACAACAATGCTCGTTTCAGCACTCTTTTCGAAGCTCTATTCAATCAGTGTGCCACTTTGGGCACACCCACAGAATTAAAAACGATCAGTGCTATCTTCACAAAATTTTACTTGTGTACTCCTCTAGGCGTAATTAGACTGCCTACCTTTTTCTAAAGTCTTTTGATATGTTAGCGATGGCAGAAGCTTAATAGAGGCTTTTTAGAGCCTTTTAGGCTTTAATAGAGGATAACCGTAACCCCCTTTTTTGCAAGCATATCAGCCATCTCATTCCCATAAATACTGCAGAGTGAAGGTACCCATTGAAAAGATATCTTGTGAGAAAGTTCTTTTATGACTTTTATGATATTTGAATTAAACAAAAGTACATTCATTTATCTCGTTAGAGAAAGGGTCAGTACTATACAGTATTACGTCACTGACCCTGAGGTATTTCCCGCACTTCATGAAAACTCATTTGAGTAATGCGGATATGAACGACGTGACAGAATATAGAAAGAACACTCATCCAAACACAAAATATTATGCGTAATGATATTGATCTGTACAAACACCTTCGAGAGCTAGGCCAGGAAAAGCAAATGGTATTCAAAAGGGCATTGTTGTGAAACTTATGATTGTTTCTGAAGTTAATTTCCGTTGTGAGGTAGATCTTACTGATTCCCAGTCTCAGACATATAGAAAATACAAATTTATTATGTTTTATCAAGATCAACTCACTATTTTTATATATATTTCGAATAACAGTTTTTTAATGGCACTTTTTCATTCATTTTTCAAAATAACATTTGTATTTTTGAGGAATTATCATCTTTTAAATAATAGCCTTATCATAACATCATTATCAAATTAACAGGATAACTGAATATTTGTCTATTAATAACATAAATGATCAGTCTGATGAGAGAAGCAGTTTTCTGCTGTGCAATCGCTAATGCAAAACATAATGCCTCGTCAGTTATGCGTGCGTGGAAGCAGTGGGTTTAAGAAAACGTCACAACTCGCATACCTGACAATCGACCACGAGATGTTGCATCAGCAGTGGTTACAGGCATGTCATCCGCATAACAGTGACAGACCATGCATTTTCATCTTTGCAGTTATCACAACGTCGGAACACTTCTATGGGTGCATCATTATCAAATTCAACAGCTCGGCAACGTGTGGCTGCTCTGCGGATTACGTGTATGCATGCGTTCCTTTCCGCAGGATTTCTCTGAGTCAAAGCCATTAGCATATACGACAGCTAGTGCGAGTAGGCGCTATACTATTTAAATTCTAAAAGTTATAAAGAACTGTCTTTATATCTAACAAGCGCAAGAAGGCGCAACAGCACTTGTATTTA